TCCTGGCCAGAGCCTGCCTCTGTCTCCCCAACCCATCTCTCCCCCTCCTGCACCCCTACCCCCACCCAGACCCTGCAACCCAAACTCCTGCACCCCCTCCTGTACCTCTGCCCCAGATCGCGACCCTACGCCCCCTTCTGTGCCCCCTCCAGGTCAGAATCCTCTCCTGCACCCAAACCCCATCCTGGACCTTGAACTCCCTTCTGCACCTGACCTCCATCCCAGACCCTGCGCCTCCTCTATTACTATGGAAGAGTGTGGCCCTTGGCCACTTACCGAATTCCTGGAGTTGGCCCCACATCCGAAATGATTGCCCAGCCCTGGCCTAGTTCATCCTGGCTCCCCCTTTGCTTGTATATAAATCCAGCCTCCCAAAGCCAGGCTCAGCCAAAGCCCCCGCCGAGTCCCTGCCTTCTGCCTGACCCCAAGCGAGGCTGTGGCTTGCAGATAACTTGGCTGCTAGCAAAGCTCTCCATTGGCCTGACCTCGCTCCATGCACTGGCCCCCGTCACTCGAAGGTGCGTGACCCCCTCGTCAGTCTGTCCGAGCCCCAGGAGCAGGCGAGTTTGCCAGGTGGGCTGGACCCCTCGTGCGCATTCTGTGCAGGGCTGGTCTCTTAGTGCTTTGGGAAGATGCACCAGTCGTGTTGTGAGGCATCAGTCGTGTCATGCACCAATCGCGTGGTGATCCCTGCTTGTGCTTCCCCTCTCCCCACCCCCAGTGATCATTGAGAAGGCGGCTGGCAACTCGGAGGCCGTTGCTTTTGATGGCAGGACCTACATGGAGTACCACAATGCCGTGACCAAGAGGTGAGCCGGCCTGAGGCTTGGGGCGGTGAAGTGGAAGGGGAGGGGCTATTGGGAGCCATGCCCGGAGGACGGTGACTCAAACGCTCAAACCCCAGGGGTAGGCAGAGCCGGAATTTCACCCATCGCCCTCCCCTTCAGTCCCGGGCCACAGTATCCCCATTTTGGCTCCTGAGCTAGGTCGGTAGCTGCTGCCTGGAGGGCCGGTGCATGCGCAGTTCCTAAGCTGGGCAGAAGCCGCACCCCGGAGATACTGGCCAGGTCAAAGCCATGGGGCCTAGGTCAGCGGCCAGTGCAACGACATGTCACGACATCCAGAACGTACCGGGGACCGTCGCCTGCAAACCCAGCGGGCGAGAGAGTCCTGCAGCTTCGAGGACGAGAGACTCCCCGGGCCGGGCCGGGCTGGGCTAAGGATGCAGGACTAGCTCCCGGCGGCCTGCTCCCCGTCTGTCTGTGCTCTCCTGTCTGTGTGTCCTGGTCTCCGTCACTGTCAGTCTCCTTCTGTGGCTGTCTCTGGGACAGGCTCCCCTTCCCCAGACTTGGCTGTAACACCAGGCAGCATGAACCCCCCCTGCCAAGTCGCGGTTCAGTGGGTTTCAGAGCCAGGTTTTAGGCTCAGCCCATCTCTGCTCTGACCCAGTCCCCCAGCATTGGGGCAGCCAGGAGGAGATCCCAGGACCCGGCCATGCTGCGGA